CTTATTAGACCTTAAGCGGGGAGGAAAAAAGAAACAAACAAGTATAATTTGCCAGATTAATTTTATGGTCTGTTCTATTTAATCAAACTATACCTTTTAGTGAAAATGACAAATCTGAGTTGTCAGAAGGTGGTAGATAAGGAAGATAAAGGTCATATATTTTAATGTCACAGAAGGTCTTATTAAAGGAACCTTAATTACATTAGGTACCCATGAAACATTAATTAAATACTGTCTGAAATAATTAGGTGCACGTTACTGATGGTTTAATTAAACTCAGTTTCTTTTTTTATAAGAAAACTAAAGGTCCAGTATCTCTGTCGGCAGCATAATTGATAATATGTCAAAAAGGCAAAATAGTAACCTTGACCAACCACAGAGAGAGGGTGATATGGCTCTCAGGGCCCTTCTGTGCATTAACTTCATTGTCTATGCTGGCCGGTGTCTCCAAGAAGACCTCATGATGTGTGTGCCTTTGCAAACTGTCAGCTTCTGGGGGTCCTAGCATAGGAGAGGTGGATACAAAACAGTGAATCCATCGTGTAGGGCTTAAAAAGTATATGCTCCCCATGAAGAAAGGTGGTATGCTTAATACATGCACCTTTTCATTCTAGAAATGCATCCTGCCTTTTGTCATCTCTGCACATTGTATCTCAGAAATGCCAGCACCCTTTCTGACCACTCAGTCTGCCCAGAGAGTATCGTGGCATTGAACTCCTTTCCCATATTTATTTATTATCTCTGTGCTCCAACATTTATTTTCTTTTTTACTTGTGTATCTTTGAAGTTAAAAGCATGGGCTTTGGAATCAGATTGCAGGCTTTGAATCTCAACTCTGCCATAGCTGTGTAACCTTGGGCAAGTTACTTTGAATTGGTTTCCTCGTCCTCAAAATATTAGATGTAATAATAGCTAATTTTAAAAGTTGGTATGAGGTTGATGCTTTGATGTATATACAACACTTACCACAAGTGAAAAGTACATGGTGAGCCCTACAAGAATGACACAGAACATTCCGTGGTCTGCAGGATCATGAGGATTTGAGGCCCAAATTGAGTAAGTAGGTGAATACAAATGAAATGTCAATTTAAAAGGGAAAATGATTTTACAAAAGCAAAAATGTGGCTGGAGAATTTATGGGCTGGTGATTTGAAATGAGCTGCAGGTCTGTTTTTTGTCTTTATGTTCAAGTCTTGGGCTGACCAAGCCATTCCCTTTCTCTGTGCTGACACATGGGGGTTGGTAATTTGGGTAGGAGAAGAAAACAGTTTTAGTCCAATTCACCACACCGTAGGACAGCGAACTCTTCTTTCACTTTGAATGGGACAAAATGAATCAGGATAATAGTCTTACAGTTTCTAAAGTACTTCAATGTACATTGTCTTACTTGCTCTTCTTTACAGCCCTGTGAAGTACGAACTGATATTAGCAACCATTTGACAGATGAGAAAATTGTGGCATGGAGAGGTTAAGACACTCGTGCACTGTGTGCAAAATTTGTGACAAAGGTACTTCGGCAATGTAAACCTTTTAGCCCTGGGGTTTTAACTCTCTGTGCTTTGTTATCTGTGGGTGACGTCACCCACCCTGAGCTCAGCACTGTGTTATGGTTTAGAGCAGTGTGAAAACCAAGGCCTGTGGGTTCAACCTCACCAGTCCTTGTAGCTAAGGATAGATTTTACATCTTTAATGGGTTGCAAAAAAGGAGGAGAAAGAAGGGAAAGGAGGGAGGAGGAGGTGAGGAGAAGGAGCTACCAAGACTGAATGTGGCTAACAAAGCCTATTTAGTTCCTGGCCCTTTACAGAAAAAGTTTGCTGACCCCTGTTTAGTGAGGTGCTTCTCAAACTTAAATGTACATAAGAATCCCCTGAGGATCTTGTTAAAATATAAATTCTGATTCAGTAAGTCTGGGACAGGGCCTGAGATTCTGCCTGTGTAAAAAGCCCCCGGTGATAACCGTGCTGCTGGTCCTTGTGCTAGGCTTTGAATAGTAAGGATTGTGCCTTAGACTAACTCTGGATCCGTAACCATGCTCTTTGCTTATAGGAACATGCACTAATAATTACTCTCCATTTGCCTGTATCTTAAAATCTTTCACTTCTTTTCTGTGTTCATAGCAGATGAACTTTCAGCAATTCATCTTTAAAACAGCCTTCATTTTTTCCCTCCAAAATGGTGATGGCTTCTGCCTGCTACCTCTAGCGGCATGTCAGTTCTGCATGCCCGACCTAGGGTGCGGTGAGAGGAAAACTTGGTTCCTCGTCTCTAGGAGTGTCTTTTCAAGGCCCATGCTGCTTAGTCTGGCCTTAGTCCTTTTCTCCAGCCTGTTTAGTTACGAGCTCCACTTCCATGTTAAGCATCTCTTACAGAGACCCTACTTTTCTTTCTCTGTGGCTTTTCGTATGTACTATGGACTCCGGGGCTTTCCTCTAGGCTCATCAGCCTTCTGTTTTGGCCCCTTTCAGCTCCTTCTTTTCTGTCCTTTATCTGGCTTCCCTGGCAGGAGCTCTCTTCGTTTCTCTTGACTCATTCCTTGGTATGGTGGTTATTCCATTTGTACACAATTCTCATTTCAAAGCTAGGAGTCTGAGTTTGCAACAGAGTGGTCTTCCCCTTCCAGAATATGGTCAGCTTCCTCCTTGTAAGAATCTGATCTATTAGATGTAGACACCAGGCAGAGGGACTATGACTTACTCCATTTCTGTTTCACAGAATGTCTTGTTAATAATGAGTACATATTAATTACATATATGCCACAATCATCATTTTGTTATAGTAGTTGGTACCTGGCAGTTTATCCTAGTAAAAAGCAGCATTACCAATCAACACTACCATTGACCTGAGTTCTGGTTTAGACTGGAGCATAGCAATTCTTACTCCAAAAAGAATGAACTGTGATTAATGTCCTACCACTCATCTCCCTGGTTTGGCCTAGGATATGTGGTATGTCATACCATTGGAACCGTCTTGTACTCCAGAAATCATGGCATTTTAAGCTGAGTAGCTGGCACTTTTTGCCACAACTGTTTTTTATCCTGTGGCTTTCAACTGCCTGCTCCAAACGTCTCTCAATTTATTCTGCCCTGCATTCCTTAAGTCCAGAAAAGAGAAGCGATTTGCCCAAGGTCATACAGCACATTTGGTGGCAGAGAAAGACCCCGATCCTCACCTTTGTTCTTTCATTCTAATCTGTTGCCTCATATAAAGTACTTTAAGTTTAAAAAGCATTGACATACTAGAAAAATAATGTGAATGCCTACATTCTTTTAAGTCTACTATACATATAACTATATTTTACTAATGAAACAGAAGAGTGGTAACCTTCGTTTTTCTATTTTTCAACATGTACTTGGATCAGCATAAACTTTATAGCTTTTTTTCCTCAAAGCAGTTCTGTTAACTCCCAGGTAATCTTGCATACATATATTTTTAAAATAATTTCCTTTTGGGGGAAAAAAAAGAAGCCATCTTTAACCCAGAATATTTAGCTTTTTGAGTATTGATAGTAGTACATATAAATGCAAAGTCCAACAGCCTCCTGCCCTCAAACCTTCAAACTCCACAAAACCCAAGGAGAATAGTAAACCTAAATTTAGGAATAAACAAATGTAAAAGCTAGTCAGGCTGTCATCCATCTATTCATTTGCTCATCTGTCTATCTCTAGTTTGTTAATTTCACCTCTGATAACTTTCCCCTTTAGCTCCTTTGTTTATCCCTCAGTGAGCTCACATATACAGGGAGAGGAGCCTGAGGAATTTGGGCAGGGCAGTGATCTTAGTTTCTCAGCCTGATCATTAGGTGCATAGGATCTGTGAGTTGCAAGTCACAGTTTAGAAAATATTTCAAGTGGTTGCCAGGTGCGGTGACTCATGCCTGTAATCCCAGCACTTTGGGAGGCCGAGGCAGACGGATCACTTGAGGCCAGGAGTTCGAGACCAACCTGGCTGACATGGTGAAACCCCATCTCTACTAAAAATACAAAAAAAAAAAAAAATTAGCCGAGTGTGGTGGTGGGTGCCTGTAGTCCCAGCTACTTGGGAGGCTGAGGTGGAAGAATCACTTGAACCTGGGAGGTGGAGGTTGCAGTGAGCTGAGACCACACCACTGCACTCCAGCCTGGGTGACAGAGTGAGATTCCCCCTAAAAAAAAAAAAAAGCCCGGCGCGGTGGCTCACACCTGTAATCCCAGCACTTTGGGAGGCCGAGACGGGCGGATCACGAGGTCAGGAGATCGAGACCGTCCTGGCTAACACGGTGAAACCCCATCTCTACTAAAAATACAAAAATTAGCCGGGCCTGGTTGCGGGCGCCTGTAGTCCCAGCTACACAGGAGGCTGAGACAGGAGAATGGCGTGAACCCGGGAGGCAGAGCTTGTAGTGAGTGGAGATCACGCCACTGCACTCCAGCCTGGGCGACAGAGTGAGACTCCGTCTCAAAAAAAAAAAAAAAAGAAAAGAAAGGAAGAAATTTCAAGTGGTGATTCCCCACCCCCAAAAGCAATTCAATTTGATTTCAATGGATAGCTGTATTGGCCATTTAAAAAAAATTTATTTTGTATTCTCCCATGGAGGAAAAAGAAGTTGGAGGATAGAGAGAGAATATATTGTTTTCATTGTTTTGTTCAAATGGCAACATTCAAATTTAGACCTTTTATTTAAATCCTTGGATTTTACTTACAGCTCAGTATAAATATTGTCATAAAGTAATCACTGTCACAGTTTGGTCGATGACCACAGAAATGGTAGTTATGGATTGATTTCCAGAAAGCAAAAATAATTTTTTTAAGGAATAAAATAATTAGATGCAGCAGTATGACAGAGAGAGGCATCTGTTTATATGTCTGCCCCTATGTAAGCTATGTTAAATCCTAAAGAGAATAAGCAAATCTTTGATTGTTTATTTTAGAAGTCACCTTTAAAAAGTAAGCTTCAGATGACTGATGTATTTCACATGTTGGTTGGAGATCTGTTACCCTTGCATGTCAACTAAAATCCTACATGTCGTTTTCTTGGATGGCTGCTCTTCAGACAGCAGATTTGATTGTAGAGCACTTTAATGGCTTTCACACTGTGTCTGCCGTGAGTCGCGTGTATGCAGAGACCCTACTAAGGTCTCTGGGTTTGGGACAAAGGACCACATCCGATAGATAAATGAACTCTGGGGACGGCTCCATGGCCAACTGAACAGACTATAGGATATCTTGCTCTTTCTCCTTTCCTAGCAATTATTCACTTAGATTTCGGGATGTTGCTCTATTCTCTAAGAAAGTCTGTAGGAAGAGGAATTCTCTCTTTTACTCCCTCCCTCACTCATCTCCATTCTTCTACCCAACTTTCCCAACTGGTGACAGACTAGGGGACCTTGTTTCTTTTTTCACTTTCTTTTTCTTGTTAAGTGTTGACATACTTCTTTGCCTAGAGTAACTCAGTTAAGCCAGCCACCCAGGAGGTAGGCAGGTCACACAAGCCGAATTAACCATGACAGTTCTCAAAGCAATATAAAGCTTTTCCCAGGAATTATCCTTTGGGCTTTTTTTTTATGCTAAGATATGCAATCTCATGCGACTTATCTTGAAATGGAATACAAAGCAGTTCCACACACTCAATACATTTTTTTGTTTGAAGTAACAGAAATTTTAAATAAAAGTTACCTGTAGCCAGTGGCCTGGTCCCTGCTGGGACGCTTGTTTACCTGAGGGCAGAGGGAAAAAAGGCTCTTTCTGAGATTGGGAGCTCTCTACAGATGCAGGACATTATACGCTGGCACCTCCTAGAGTCACCTTGAAAGGAGCACAAACCAGCATTGAGAAATAAAGTCAATTCCAAATCAGCAGATTTGTTTTTTCATTTTAGCCAGGCAAAAGTAAAAGCAAACCAAAGCATAACTCTCTTCATAGTGTTTTAACCCTTAATACAGAGCAGATACTCTGATTAGTTATCACTGCAAATTGTTGAAAAGCATGCCCTCTGCGCAGGCCACCTCAAGGCTGTGAGGGCTGTGGACCTGACAAGACTCAGAGGAGCTAGCCCTGGGGGAGGCCACACCCAGCTCAGTAGCCCCACAAGGCAGCTGGATTTCCTTTTTCCCTAGGAGCACTTACCTGCTGTACTGCCCACTTTGCCATAAAGATCTTTCCTAAAAAGAGAGTGGCCAGTGAATTATGGAGCAGCAATGTAATAAGGCAGGTAGAAATGTGCCCCGTTATCAGTCACACACATTCAAGCCCAGCCTGGGACAGCATAGTAGACGAGACTATAAGCTCTGGGATCTTCTCATTCAACCAAGATTGCTTCATACAAAAGTTGACAATGCCGGCCAGAAAGCCATTGTTGATATTCAACCTTTTTTGAAATAGCTGAACAGACTAGACAATAAGGCATGACAGAAAACTTGGACAGGAAGATGGCTTGGAGTCTGGCTTAAGAAGGAATCATGCTATTGAAAGTAGGCAACAAACACACATTTCTAAATGTTAAATTCCTTTGAAAATAAGAATCAACTTTACCATTCATTTGTTTTCCTTCTCTAAAGCCACAAAGACAAGCAGAACTCATTTTCAGTTGCTCGTTAGTTTATCTCTCTAGTCTTCCTTTTGCACGTTGAAATTCTCAAGCATGGGAACTCTATGATCCTCTCTTGCTGTTTGATGAGTCAGGGAGAGGACTAAGAAGATACCTCAAAGGGCCTTTCATAAAGGATTTGTAGCACTGAAAGGTGTCCTGGAACCATCATAAAATCATTCATTCCTCCATTCATTCATTCAGCAAATATTTATTGAGTACCCACAATGGGCTATGGGGTTACAATGGTGAACAAAATTGACATAGTCCCTGCTATGGCCACCATCTACCACTGCCCTGGCTTTAGCGCTGGAAATCCCACATCTGGGAACCCCCTCAAGTCCTGACAAAACTGGGACAGTTAGTCACCAATTCTTCTGTTTTTGAAAGCTAACGCTCTATGAATTCCTGAGAAAGAGTGAGTGGGTAAATTGTGGCTACCTGAGTCCTAGTACCAAGCCTGCTTCTTACCAGCTGCATGATCTGTGTCAAGACACTCTGCTCATCCCCAGTTTTCTCATTTGCAAACAGGAAAATAATATCTACCTCAAAGAATATTTTATTTTATTTTATTTATTTATTTTTGAGATGGAGTCTCGCTCTGTCGCCCAGGCTAGAGTTCAGTGGCGTGATCTCGGCTCACTGCAAGCTCCGCCTCCCGGGTTCACGCCACTCTCCTGCCTCAGCCTCCCGAGTAGCTGGGACTACAGGTGCCTGCCACCGTGCCAGGCTAATTTTTTTTTTCTTTTATTTTTTTGTATTTTTAGTAGAGAAGGGGTTTCACCATGTTAGCCAGGATGGCCTTGATCTCCTGACCTCGTGATCCACCCGCCTTGGCCTCCCAAAGTGCTGGGATTACAGGCATGAGCCACCGCGCCCGGCCCCTCAAAGAGTTATTTTAAGATGAAATGAATTTTGTCTTTTGAGTCTGTAGGAATTGACTTTGATGACAGCTTTTCATCCAGCAACAAAAGAGGGAGATGTAGCTGTGGGTGTCCCATTGGCTCTGGAAATAGAAGAGGCTGCTGTCTGCTTTATTATTTTATTTTACTTTATTTTATTCTATTTTAAGATGGAGTCTTGCTCTATCGCCCAGGCTGGAGTGCAGTGGTGAGATCTTGGCTCGCTGCAAGCTCTGCCTCCCAGGTTCATACCATTCTCCTGCCTCAGCCTCCAGAGTAGCTGGGGCTACAGGTGCCTGCCCCCAGGCCCAACTAAATTTTTTTTGTATTTTTAGTAGAAATGTGATTTCACCATGTTAGCCAGGATGGTCTTGATCTCCTGACCTCGTAATCCACCCGCCTTGGCCTCCCAAAGTGCTGGGATTACAGGCGTAAGTCACCGTGCCCGGCCTCTATGATTTATTAAATCATGATGGAACCTGCCAGAAATCTGATAATATATCTTGTTGCTAGTGCTTAGATGAGGTAGGCTCTCAGGTCCATAGTACTTTGTTAGGGGAAAGGACTGACCCCCAGAGAGAGGCCCACTCTGTCTGCTGGCAGATACAAAAATATAGGTACCTTATTCTTCAAGTGGGGATTTGGGCTAAAGATTAAATCATTACAGTGAAAGAGGGACATGTATAATCCTACATTAACTTTTCTTTCTGTTGGGAGTTGGTTTTCACTTTTCTTCTTTAGAGTTTTGAGATTTCTTTTTTCTTTGCCAAGCTCACTCTCCCTTTCCTAGAATTTATAATCTTATTTAACATGAGCATCTATTAGGCACTCAGCACATACCAGTCATTTTGTTAGGGACTGGGATGCTGAAAGGAAGCAGAGCTGGTCCCTTTCCTCAAAGAGCTGACAGTTTAGTTGGAAACACATACTCACACGCATGCACAAACCTCTCCCTCTCGGGCTCAAACGATCCTCCCACCTCAGCCTCCAGAGTAACTGGAACCACTGACGTGCAACGTAACACCAGGCTGATTTTTTAATTTTTGTAGAGATTGGGCCTTGCTATGTTACACAGGCTGATCTCAAACTATAGAGCTCAAGTGATCTGCCCACCTCAGCCTCCCAAAGTATTAGGATTACAGGCATGAGCCACCACACCCAGCTGGACACAGAGGTTTTTGTTTTTAAGTTTTTTATTCCTTCCTTTGTTCAGCTGCCCCCGCCTTTTTTTTTTTTTTTTAAGTAGCTCTAGGTCTTTGTTTTTTCCTGCCTTCAAATATCTCCCCTACCCCACTTCCCCCACCTAATTTCACTTTATCTTCCATATGACAGGTGAGTACCACTCGTTTCACAGGCACCACTGATATTGGTTTTCCATGCACCACATTACAAATAAATGTGGCTTTTAAGATTGAACTTCATTAGTCCATACTAATAATGTAGGCTCTCTCATTATTAGCCAGTGTTAATGCTATTTTAAAAGTTTGTCACGGGAGAAGACACTCAATTTCCATTCCTGAGGTACAAAGAAGGGGACACATTTCCTACCCTCTTTGAATTGTTTGTAACAGGTAACCTGTTAGCCTCTTATCAGTAAGCTAAAGAGCTAGGTTTCATTGGCAATGGAAGAGTATGATGGCATGAACCTTGTCCTTTCGTTAGATTCAAATGGGTTTCATTTCAGCCTGTTTGTCTGAATTTCTCCTGTCAGTCGGCCCTGTGCTAGGCAAGGTAGGAATGACAAAGAGAGGCAGAAGGGGGAAATACTTTTTTCTTTTCTTTTCTTTTCTTTTCTTTTTTTGAGACAGAATCTCACTCTGTTGCCCAGGCTGGAGTGCAGTGGCATGATCTCGGCTCACTGCGACCTCCGCTTCATGGGTTCAAGTGATTCTCCTGCCTCAGCCTCCCAAGTAGCTGGCACTACAGGTGCGCACCACCATGTCTGGCTAATTTTTTTTTGTATTTTTTTTTTTTTTTTTTTTTTGTGGAGACGAGGGTTTCACCATGTTGGCCAGGCTGGTCTCAAACTCCTGACCTCAAGTGATCCATCCACCTCAGCCTCCCAAAGTGCTAGGATTACAGGCGTGAGCCACTGCACCCAGCTGGGGGAAATACTTTTAATACTTGGCCAGAGAAATGAATATAATGTTGTTATAATCAGGAACCAGTACAACATGGTTTTTGCACCCTTCATTAAATTGACACATTTGCTGAGCACACTTACACAGTACCAAGGACTTTTCTTTGGCTTGTCATTTAATATGAAGATACGTAAGATCAAATATTGCTCTAAAGGAACTCACGGGCCACCAAATGGATCCACACCAAAAAAATATGAGTATTGTGTAATGGATGCTCTGAGAGGCACAGGCTAGGAAGCACAGTGGGGTTTTTGGGGAAGTTGGAAGGCGTTAGGGAAGGTTTCATGGGAGCTGCCTGCTTAGTGGCGGAAGTAGTCATAGAAGATGTCTGCAGATCATTCAGTTGCCTTGTTACTAGAGAACCAATTATTTTCCCCCACTCCTGACATTTCTTCCACATCTTCAGAAAAGCCACACTGAATCATGATCAGCTTTTCCAGTATGCCTTTTACATTTACTGCAGTGACTATGAGTGTGAGCCAGTGTCCACTTTCACTGTTTTCTAACTCTTTGCT